ATTTATGTTGGTAACGACAACACAAACAATATGATATAATTTTCCTAAATATGTTAATGAAAACTCAACAAAACGAAAATAAGAAACGTATGATAAACCGAATGACTAACTTATAATAAAAATAGGTGTAATTCATATTAAATTGAGTAATCTATATTTCATGTAGAAGCAAAATTTAAATTATAGTAGGCCTATGTGAAAACGCAACATAAAGATACAACGGACATGCCAACCCTTCAAGGCCAACAAGAGGAGTCTGAAAAACTTCTGAGCGGAGTTATTAACTTGCATATTTGCGCGTGTTTTAGCTTCTTTTTTGGAGGAAGCTCAACACTACTAGTGGGTTTTCGAGCACTGCCTAGGCTTACATCCTGTCGCTCTCATCGGACTCCTTATTTAAAATCATACTCTACTAGACTGTTGTTGTTACGAAATCAGTAGACTATGACGCACTATACAGTTCAGAGTGCAGTGTAACTCTGACACCAAATTGGCCAATGAAATTTGTGTTAAAAATCAGTAGACCGTGGAGCAACTCTGACAGCGATTTGGTCAATGAAAATGGTTTCTTTCGAAAATAAGTAGACCGTAGAGCGCGAATTACTATTTCGTATACAGTTCAGAGCGTTGTTTTCAGGACGAAATTAAGGGGTATTGTTCTTATCTAAATCATAGGATTATCATTTTTATTCGGAATTGCGCGATTTATTTCAGCTGGCCAAAATGCGTAAAAAGCAGAGTTTTCGACCCAAAATCGGAGCATGGAGTTTTGCTTAAATAAATTGGAGTGGTTGGCATGTCTGATACACATATACCAAATTTCATGTTTCACTTTACTCTATGTAATTAAAATCATAAGATCATGTTTCAATCATATTTAATCAGAATATATTGCCATAAATAGGAGAAAGATAATAGGCCCTACAGTAGGCCTGTGTTATTAGTATAAAGATAAAAAAACAGAAAATTAAAAAAGTATGATAAACTGATTAACGGGTTCTGGACAGAATGGCAAAAAAGTCAAAACGGCAACACTTTTCAACTAAAACGGCAATAAGTCAAAACGGCAAGACCAAAACGGCAATAGTATAATAATAATAATAATAAAAATAATAATAATAATATGTTGTTATTATTATTATTATTAACAACATACAATGCAATTCAATAGTAAAAAGAATGGGGGAACACAATGTAATACACAAAGGCTAAATGCCATGAAAGTAAAAAACGGGAAAGAAAAAATAATAATAAAAAATAACACTTTTTAAAATATTATAGTCATGGATGTGAAAAACATAACAAAAAACAAAACACGATTCAAAAAATTATAAACTGCTGCCCGTGCAGTTTTGGTCTATGCCTATTGTCGTTTTGGTACTTGTCATTGCCGTTTTGGTCTGTTGCCATTTTGGTTTATTGCCGCTTTGGTCATTGCCGTTTGGTTTTTTTTTTTTGGTTTTTTTTGGTTTTGACCTGCACCCTGATTAACAAACTTTTCATAATGATAATATAGATTAGATTTTGCGTTTTCTCAACGCCTTTGTTGGCGCTCCATATATTTGTTTGAAATAAACCGTAAGTGACTGATCTGGGGTGGGCAGAGAGGCCTACTGTCAGTCACTGTAGGCTAGGCCTAGTAACTGGCCTAGCTAGGGCTAGCCTACCCCTAACTAGGCCAGTTACTAGCTAGGCCTAGCCATGGAGTTATAATTAATTTTATAACTCCATCATGGCCTAGGCCTAGCTAGGGCTAGCTAGGCTAGGCGGACATGTTCTAGGCCCGACTTGGGCCTGGCTAGCTAGAGAGTTATATAGGTGCCTCCCTCCCCCTCACCACCTAGAGACCTACCATCCCAAGGCTAGCCTGCCTAGAGAGGCCTATCTCTCTAGGCTAGGCCTACCCTCGGCCTCCTCTAACTACGCTAGTCTAGGGCCTAGGCTAGGCCAATCCACCTCCTCCGAGTCCTAACTAAACCTAGGCCTAGCTAGGCTAGCCTAGAGAAGAGCCTTCTTTAGAAAGTCTTTGAAAGAGCCATGCCTAAAATGTAGAAGGCTTCCTACAGCCTAGACAGTCTGACTACTGCGTAGTACTTCTGTCATAATACATTTACAAGGAGAAACAAAACGTTGAAAACACTTATCACATCTTATCAAGACACAACCAACCATCAAAATGAATAAACAAACCACCAGAACAACATAACATCATCATCACATTTTCAAATCAATGTTTTTTTTTTTTTTTTTTTTTTTATTTAAAAATACAAGTTATGGGAAAATGTACAAAAATATAATTATTTGTTGCTAATTTTATTTTTTATGATATATTCCAAATAAAAATTGTATTTAAAATTGCTCTAAAAGTGAATAAAACAATTATAATTATTATTAATCCTAAGAAAATTATAGATGGCAAACTTTACGGCTAGTTCCCGGTGGCGAGTTTTCCTTTTTTTTTTCTTCAGGCAAGTTGAGCCCATTACTATAAAACAAGGGAGGCGCCAGCCAGGAGGGGGTGGGGAGGAAGCCCTCTCCCCCTCCCCGCCGACCACAACTCGTCGGGAAGAAAAAATGTAGGCGCTAATGCATAAGTTCACCTCATCTTCAAAATATTATATGAACCACTTTAAGAACATTTTAAGCGACGTTCCACCAGGCCCACTCGGATATACCGTGTACATCTGCTATTTAGATACACAGTATGTATGTATATCCGTCATTATATTTATATTTTTGTTACGACTTTCAGATGTTTTACACATTTAAATTTTAATATTTTTAAGCTTATCTTGTAGTCACTACTTAGCTTTCTATACTTTAGTTTTGTTTTGGTTTGGTTTTCAACGCCTTTTATATACTGCAGAGGCACGTGCCATAATCACAAATTTTCTTACCTCAGCCCCACCAGTGGGGCTGAGGGGGTATAGATTCTCCATCTGAAATTACCTCACCGGGCCCTCTCTATTTTGAATTCCTGGATCCGTCACTGCTTCCTTAATATATCATTCTCCACTCAGAATTAAGTCTTCCACACTGAGTGCCCCCCACCCCACCCCACTTAACTGAAAATGGTTACCGGTACCGTACCAAAGCGCATAGCAAGGTACAGTAGGCCTATATACTTGGACGGGGGGGGGGCGGGGGCCGAGGTCTCCGACGTGGGAGCCGATGCCCCGACGAGGGGTCAGATTTCCCCGACGACAGCAAAGTGGGCGTGGTCGAGCTTCGATTAAAAGGAATTCAAAAGTGGTCCAGGGGCGAAGCCCCCGAAAACTTTGACAATTTAGGGATTTCAAAGGCTTATTTAATCGATTTTAGAGTCCATTAATATGTAGAAAATACATATAATTTTTTTTCTCCCCGACAATTTGTGCTTTTTCTCCCCGACGTGAATGTGTATTTTTTGGTTTGAATTTGAAACCTTCTGTTATTTTAATGTATGTATTTCTCTTTTATGTCTGATTTGTTTCATGCTTTTTGATGTTAAGCGTAATTCGCAATTCTTTAATTTTATGGTTTTGATGCAATAAATTCAATTAGGCCTATTTTATAATAATTATTATAATAAGTGTATTTTTTTTATGTTGAGCGTAATTCGTAATTCTTTAATTTAATGGTTCTGATGATATAAATTCAATTATTTAATAATAATTATTATAATAAGTATAATGATAATAATTACTGTAGCAATCATTCATAATTATATGATAATTATAAAAATTACAAATGATTGCTATGGTAATTATTTATAATTCTGTTATTTTCTCTTGTTTTTTTTATCTTAACAATTTTTATGTAAATCTTAATATAATAAAAATCACATTTTTTGTTTCGATTCTTCATATAAAATTCAACATTTAGGGATAATTAAAAGATATTTTCACAAAGTTATGCATATTTCAAATTAAAGATATAATAATTATACCCTGCTAATTGGAAAACCTTTACAAATATTCTGCCCTTAAAAAACAGTTTTACACTATAGAATAAAGTGACATGCGGTAGATCTGTTTGGTACAAAGATACGAAATGTTGTAAATTGTTGCGGTTTAACACGATTTCTGTACAATATAATAATAGAAGGTAGCTTTACCCCTGAGAAAGCAACTAAACAAACTAAGAACGTGAATTGAATTGTTGTAAAGCAGTTCAGCTGTATTTTAGTCATGTTAAAAATCGATTACCAATATCACACTCTACCGGTCATTGGTTTTTTGCTTATTATTTCGGTAATTCTGAACAACATTTTGTACACTTCTGCGGTACTCTCACTGTTTTTATCCGTAATTGTAGTCGTAATATCCAGGCTTGCCGTCGATAGGTACCGAGCAATCGAGCAATTTTCCACTGTCGACACGAAGAGCACAGTCGCGAAAGTAGGTCTGGGAGCCAAGGAGCCTACTAGTAGTAGTACTAGTACTAGGCCTAGCAATATAGGCCTAGAAGAAGGGAAGTTTGCAAGAAGAGAGATTGTTAAGAATTTAACGCCATTTTCACCGAGAGACTTAACGTCAAGTATAAACAGTGTTCAACTACAAAACTACGGGCTGGATAACCCTATTTGTTATTATAATAGTAATACTGACTCGTCAACAAAGAAGGATTTTTCCAGCAGCAGAAGCCTTTCACGGTCGCCGATAACACAAACTGATTCGAGAAATCAAACTGTAGATAAACACTTTCTCTCCGCATTTAACAGAAATACAACAGTCAGTGCAAAGGCCATAGATAAGGCTAATAATACCCCACCAGCATACTCCCCTACTCTTCTTGTGAAACAGGACCCATCCCAACAACAGCAGCAAGCAATGTACAGTCCAAGAAATTTCATTAACGTAAAGAGAAATGCAGCCTATGGATCTGGTTACAGGTAAAAATAAGGCTTTTAATTTAGGCCTAGGTAGGCTAGTCCTGATTTTTTGGGACATTGGCAACATAATCCTAATGAGGCCATCAGTTAGTTGTATGATGCACACGATACAAACGACCCCCCGCCCAGAAGGGTGTGTCCAGACCTGCCAACTCACCCGATCCTGTCGGGTTTCACCCGATATCTAAACAAATCTCCAGTTCTCCCGATTGAATGTAATTTTCACCCGATTTTACAGGTTCCCTCCGCAAAATACTCCGATTTATGCATAAATGATTGATTAGATCGTTATTATTCCAGTCAGTTGCCAATATAATCACACGTCATGCAAAAGACCTAATGTTTTTCTTTATACACAGGAACCTGTCGCCATCGTGTCAATCAAATCGTAGTAAACGTGCTACCAGTGCGCCTAGGAACTCTACTACCAATGAAGAACATTCTGGAAGTGGTTCGCTATCATGCCTTCGAGCCAGCCCAAGAGTTTTGAGTCGTTTAAAGAATGTTCAGAGTCCAGTGACAGTCAGGATAGCAAGTCCTGATCTTGTTCGTTCTCCAAGTCCATTGTAAGAATTCTGTTGATTTTTTAGAAAAGGATTTTGCATTTTTGTAGTTCTTAAAAGGATGGTTTCATTTAAACACTCTGGTGCATTAAGGCCAACATTGCACCCCATGTAATGAATTCTTATTGTCTGCATTATGTTATTATTGAACCATACGCAGTCTAAGTAATGGATAACTGGGCCATAATGTTTTTACAGGCCTACTGATTGTATATTAAAGTTAAAAATATACTTGTGAACCAATGAATATGAAATTTACATACAGTATGACCCAGTGACAGCTGAGACTAAATAGCATCTCTCATTGGTATAGATTGAGACCCCGAATAATATGTTAGTAGCGTATTTACTATACCTTTGGTGAAACTAAGGTTCTGGGGAAAACAAAACAATTTCGTGACATTGCTCGAGTCAGACCAACCCAACATTTTAAAAATATAGGTTCCCTTTTCTTAAAGCAAAAAAAAGTAAAATTTTTTATTATTATGCGAGTAGTAATGATTGGAAACCTCGGGTTTACCGTTGACCTTTCTTGTACATCTCTGTCTCTGTAGACAAGGTTTTTTAAAGACAACTCAAAAACTGTGCATCACAATCTTACTGAATTCATCATGTAATTAATGCTGGTCATGCAGTTTTGTATAAGATTTTCAAACTTTTTTTTTTGTGAACATTGAACTTGAATGAGATAAAACAATACCCTTCTCCCACACATTGTTGTAAGATATGGTTTTTTTGTTTTTGCCAGACTTATGTACAAAATGCACTTGTTGGACTATCTAGAGATACCATAGGTACGATACTGTGTATAAAATAAAATAGATTTTTTTAAATTTGGCATTCCAGCATGTTTTGGCCATTTTCTCTGAAACACGATTTGCGACGAGTGACTGGTTTGGTTTGGCTTGTCTTTGCCACATAGAAAAGTCTTCATAGCTCACAGCATTGTAGTTGTCCCATTGAGTAAACACCCTAAGAGGACAAGAACAATTAAATAGTGTTCTTGTTTATTCAAATTTATCATATAGCCCCATTCAAAATTTCAGTTGTTAGACAAAAAATCTGATTTTTATATGTTATAAATATTTATAAATGTAATACGAAATTGCTAGTTTAACTGAATTTAGACATTCGTAAGCATGAAAAAAAAATGTAAAATAAGACTAAAATTTTATTTTTTTGTGTTGCAAACAAAAAATGAATATGGATGAATTTTTTATGTTTGATTTTGAGATAGGTCTGTGCCAGAAACACTAGCATCTAACACTGTTAGGCTAGGCCTAGCCTTAACTCGATTTAGGTTCTGGTATCAGACATAAAAATGACCGACATTTTCTGTTGCTAGTATGTATTGACACATTTTGTGAAACATGATATTTAATTGTATTTCTAATTTCTTTAAAAAATTATTCTGACCGAGATTTTGACAATTAAACAAACATATCTCAGGCTTACTCGATCGATCAGTGGTGAGGTACAAAAAATAATTTCATTAGAGAGGGCGCACTTTATTGACTGTATAAAGTTTACACAAAAGCGAGAGCATCCCAGCGGATGCGACCTATAGCCTCAGAATTTGCTAACAAAGAAGTCGTCGAGAAAATGGCAATCTCCAATGAGAAATAGTCTGTTTTTCATTTTTTTATCGTTTTGCGTGAAACTAAAATTTATGCCAATATTTTTTCATGGTTTATAACAAAGTAATGCATATGCATTTTTTTCTAAAAATTTTGCAGGGAATAGGGCTTTAATTATTGAGTCATATGACTAGCAGTACTGACTAAGCTAGTCAATTATCATTTTCCTATGTTATCAATGTCCGTTTGTTTTTTATGTTCCCACCAGTAAATGGCAAATTTTGTATTTATTGTTGAATGGGATAATAAATAAATAAATAATTAGATGTGCCTTTTGTTGTAGACTTAGGCAGCTTGATGCTGAAGTGAAAGCAGATCCCCGCAGCAAAGAGAGCGTCATCTCGGCCATCCGACAGTGTCGCAAACGAGCAGTGCACTTGGAGAAGGATGACTCAAATAATTTAACAGAGGTGAAAGGTAACGATATGAAGAGAAGGTGAGTTATATTTAGAGTGGTTAATTTATCTGTAAATTGAAAATTGGTTGTGATGGAATTCAGCAATTACATTGGTGGTAATAATTTTTGTAGACCAGGATATCTGATGATTTTTTATTCGACCTACAACATTGCTGAGGGAAGATTTTTTTTCCAGTCCAAAAATTGTCTGATTTGTGTTTGATAAAAAATGTAATGAGAAATCCCTGTCAATTGTAGCAATCTCATTCTAACATGCACGCTTTACATAAACCAAGTCTCTTTTTACGGATGTTGTAAGATTTATTTCCAGTGGGGTCCTTTGGTGATGTTTGGGCAGCACACTTGGAGAAAATCGCCTACTCTTCTGCGAAAAGTGTACAGCATTCTTTAACGTGCACATGGGCCATAACTGCACACAGGACCAACTTCTTAACGTCTCATCCGGAAGACAGTGCGCTATTGTAACTTGTATTTCAGCCCTCCAACTGAAATGCAAGGAGAGCAGTAATGGGAATTGAGCCAGAGACCAAGAGATCTCCACACAGTGATTGCCACCAGTTTATGAGGCTTGGGAATGTAATTGTTTTTGGTCGTGATTACAAATTCTGACAGGAATTGAACGCAGGACTCTGGGATTGGATGGCAAGCATCTTGACAGCTGCAAAATTACAGAGCCAGTCCTGTTGTTGTATGAAATTATTCATGATGAAGATTTATAAACAGCTAATGTTAATGTTTAAGCTGGGCACACGCTGCTTCTATACGGTAAAATGACCATCGGCCGATGAATCCATCTCTGCCTACTGTGGATGAATTTCAACAGAGCGCATCTGTTGATTGTTTACCAGCAGTCCGAGTGGATTGTCATTGAAGACAATCTGTTGCATGAGCCTCACTGCATTGCATTCTCTATAGGATTGCATCGGCCGACCATCTGTCCAGTGTGTGCTCGGCTTATACTGTTTTCTTGTGTTGAAAATTAAAACAATGAAATTTGTTATTCTGTTGCAAGGCGATTTGATAATGATTCTGGAGCAAGTACACAAGCATCCTTCAAAGTGTCCACTTCCGAGATAGTCTGCAATGGTGAGCTTTCCAACAAAATGGATGTTGATGAGACGAATGTTTTCACTTGTCATGGAATTGTCTCTAAAACTCCACGAAATGCAATATCGAGTTCATTCAGCTCATCGAAGGCATCAAATAATGTAAGTAATTTTGTTCATCTACTGGAAAGGTATACTCAGTCTATTAATATATTCAATCCTTGTGTTAGGACAAGTTATTATCTATAAAAAAAAAAAAAAGATGTAAAGTTCATACTACAGAATGCATGTACCAAATTTCAACCAAGTAAAACAAAATTGCATAATTTCTGCAGTTAATGGTGCAGTGTTCTCTCAAAGCCATTTTAGCTGTCAGTTTTCCAGTAAAAATAATCGACCAATTTGTAAACATTTTGTGTTGGCCTAGGTAGTCTAAAGTGGTAATTTCTCACACTGCCAAATACCTGAATTTTTATGGACAAATTTACTAGTAAAAATGTTTCAGTTGGGAAAACACTGTTTTGCCTTGTTAGTTCTCAATATCCTGTACGAAAATTTACCTAATTCTTCATTCTATGACATCCTTTCCCATTTATATTTTCTACTTTTTTATGTTTCTCAATCATGCATAAAACTTAAATATCTAAAGAAGTTTTAATTTTTGAGTCACCTACATTATTAGTCTTTGCGAATCAAATGCAGGTTGAATGCCTTGCCAAGATACCAATCTAAAGATCTGTTCAAGATTTTTAAAATTTTTGTTGCATATTTTAAATTTAATTTTTATATCTATACATTTTGCTTATATTAATAGAAGAAAAGGTTATTTGAAGAAACTGAAAATGAGGATGATGCGATTGTGGTACCTTCAAAGAAATTCATCCAGCCTCTGAAAGAGAGGAAATTACAGCACACTGACATGTAAGCACAGATAAACTCCCATTGAATTCATTCTCACCAAGATCATTATCAACACCGTCATCATCATCATCCTCATCATCATCCTCATCAACTCATCATCATCATCAACACATCATCATCATCCTCATCCTCTTCAACACATCATCATCATCCTCATCCTCTTCAACACATCATCATCATCGTCATACTTATCAATACATCATCATCATCATAAACACATCATCATCCTCATCAACGCATCATCATGAACACATTGTCGTCATCCTCATCAACACAATCATAATATGTAGGTTTTTATATAGCACTCTATACAACTAAGTCTCAGAGTGCTTTTCCATGTTTTTACCCCAGTCATTGGAATGATGCCAATGGGGGAAATTCCATAGTTTGCTGCATGAAATATTTCAGTGCATTTTGGACTCGAACCTCCTTAGGTACCTACTTATACTCCTGGGTGAAGTGAAGCACCACCACCACCACGATCAAAATCACATAAATCACTATCAAATTTAAAGGATCATGGAATCCATAAGACATGTGTTAGTAAGTTTCTTAATCCCCCATTCCCGTAAAAATGATTTTTATATATGTTAGAAAGTTTTATAAATGTGATACAAAATACCTAGTTGACGGTGACGCAACGGCAATGCCACGACAAACGCACGTGACAGTGCGGACCCAACAGATCGCTTTTTTAATGAGGGTCCGTTCAGGCTGCCACTAAAAATCGGCGTTGCGTCATCTATCGCTTACGGGAAGCAGAGCTGGATTCATACGACGCAGTGAGTTGCGTTATTCTAATGGCGATTATGGTTCAATGACTCAGTTTTTCTCATGAATCCATTGGCTAATACCCCTTTTACACTGCAAGCAAAATTCGGGACACATTCAACCCGGGATTTTGCAATACCCGGGCTAGAAACTCTCGAGTTGTGGTTGGTGAAAAAATACCATCCAGGTTGCCGAATATCCCGGGATGGATGTGCGGGACGCATTCAGCATTAGACAACCTGGGTGCATTCCAGAGTCTCCAGTGTAAACATCATCAAATTTGATTCCGGAATTAGGACTTACCTGGCGCCTTCTGCAGCTGTGGTCAGGTAGGCCTAAACTTCGCTAACAACGAGCTAGGCCTAGACACTTTTCAAATAAAACCCTTTGTGCTCCGGTATAGACTTGATATCAAAACTGCTGATTTAATTCGCATAATTTAAAAACAATCTGCAGATACATTGCTTCAGTATTCACAATCATTGCAGCTTCATGACGACGAGGAGATGGAGCGAAGTGATGATCACTATCGCAACAAAAATTGAGGGCGGTATTTGAACCAGAGTTCGTTGACAGTGTAAAATGGGAACAACTCTGGATCAACCCGGATTTTTCGATAGATGTAAATGGGAAATACACCCGGGATCACTCCGGAATTAACACAGATTTATTCTGCCCTGAGCAGTGTAAAAGGGGTATGAGTCTGTTTCAAGGTAGATCTGTCAATGCAATGTGGGATTCCTTTTTGTTTATATACAGTATAATGTAGCAACAAATAAATTTATTCTATCCACATGTAGGAACTTAAGAAACCTACTAAAGCAAAAATGGGTGACCAAATCTGTCTTAACAAAAATTCATGCCATAAGTGTAAAACTAACAAACGTTATGACCACTACCGTAAAGCAAGACCTGAAGCTGTATGTTTGAAAAAGATGTAGCTGCTGATGTAAAAACTAATCCTAAAGCCTTCTATATGCTAGAAGTAGGACTACTATTAAACCTAAAGTAACTCTTATTAAATGACTTGATAGTGTTCTGGCTTCGTCTAATGCTGAGAGTAGTGATCTACTTAATTTTGCTTTTCATAATGTTTTTATAACTAAAAAGACTTCTGATATTCCTGTTTTCAAGTTCCAGTTTGAGGGTCCAGTTCTGTTATCTTTTCATCAGATGACGTATTAAATGCTATTAATCAATTCAAGGAGAATTCATCTGCGGGACCAGATTCAGTGTACCTAATGGTTTTAAAAGAATGTCGTTTGTCACTTGCTTTCCTCTTATTTGTTATTATGACTGAATCATTAAAAACTGGTGAGATTCCACTAATCTGGAGAGATGCTCTTGTTAGTATTCACAAAGGGGGTTCTAGATCAGAAGCTCTAAATTATCGTAAATAAAACAGAAAGACAGTAACTCCGAAAAGAGACAGAGACATTTTGAGATTTAACGTTAAGATCTATTTGATTATTTTCAAGAATACTGATGAGAAAATAACTTCAGCTTCAATCATTTTTACTTTTGATAATTTTTCACCAGCATTGAACGTGCAGATGCTGAAGTGATTGAACAATTCAACCAGACAACTAAGGGACAGCTAAGATGTCTGAGCAAATCAGAAACTGAATCTGATGGTGGACAGAAGCTGAAAAGGCCACAGGGTCGTAGAAAAATGCCAGCTTTCAGTGCAATGGAGAACAGTTCTTTCCTGGCAAGTACTTAATTTAATGAGTTCTATAAACAGTTTAATTTTGCTATATTCCCAAAGGAGAATAAGAAGACAGAACCTATTGTTTTTGGTACGTGTGTGTGAACCTGCTAATTTGCTCATTTGCATATTAAATTAGTATTTCACTAATCAGGTAATTTAGGCTAGTTACCACAATAACAAAAGTTTGGTATAAAGTCTGATTGATTTCAAACTTGGCGGAATGCAAGAGGGTAATCAGAAGACGGAGCCTATTGTTTTTGGTACATGTTTGAATATGCTAATTGTTCATTTGTTCAAATTTAATCAAAGGAAATTTACGCTAAATACCATTATAATTCCCAAAGACAATTTCTAATTTATGTGAAATTGTACTATTTTGTCATGTTCTTGTTGCTGTTGTAGTAAATTGTTTGTTACCACAATAACTAAAGATTGGTAAATCTGATTAGTTTCAAACTCCTACCCATCAATTCTCTGAGAAAATTCACACGGTGGAGAGGCTATGCTTTTAGTGTGCAGCATAAAAGGAGAATTTCAGGTTGTTGTTGATGCTGTTGCAGCAGCTTTTGTTTTTGGCAGTATTCAACTGGTTTGTTTTGTTGCCATCAATTTTTCGTTGAGGTTTATTTTCATTCGGCTGGATCATAAAATAGATTTTGTTGACAAATGAAATTAATCTAAACCAGAGTGCGTTCATTTGCTATAAGTTATTCACCTGACAAAAACAAATATGGCTAATTGGTCATAGTTTTGGGGGGAAAAAAAAAAAATTTCAGAAAATAATAATTATAATATTTGTACACATAAAAGTAAAAAATAATTGTAGGCTAACAGAATTCAAAAATTACATGAAAGTATTTTTTTATCACAAACCCCACCACAAGTGGACACAACCTAGCATGTATTGTGCAGCCGTCCCATGGCAAAACCACATAACTGCTTATATATTTTGAGTGAGTTGCATTGTTTTGCCATGAGGTAACTACACAGCCGTTTTGTTTTGTTGAGTATTTACCAGTTTTTTATTCATATTTGTAATTTTCATTGTCAGATATTACCACTGCGCAGGCATGCATTGTTTAATAAAGAACAACTAGTTAAGTACAACCCCGAGTTATTGTTTATAAACAAGCAATGTAACGGTAATTTTATGGACTGTTGGAAAAATTATTTTATGTTTAAAGTAAGCATAAATAAAGCAGGACTAAACGCAAATTTTGAATGCATAGCTACTATAC